GTACTTGTGGCCCGGGTCGACGCGGCGCTCCTTCATGAGCGCGTTGAGGAGCTTGCCCTCGGGCCCGGCGGCGGGGCGGCCTGTGGCGTAGTCGACGTTGAGGGAGGCGCAGCGGCCGCAGTTTGCGGTCAGGAGGAGCTTTGCGCCGGAGGAGGAGGGAAGGGAGAGCTCGGCCCAGAAGTCTTCGGCGAAGGGGGGCTCGGAGGGGTCGTGGACGACGATGTTGGGGCGCATTTTTGGCATTATCGACGGGGTGGTGGTGGAGAAGGACGTGAGGGAGGGGTGGGTGAGGGAGGGGTGGGTGAGGGAGGAGGAGGATGTGATTAGGTACGGGGCGCAGTCGGTGAATGTCAGCCACGGCTTTTGGGCGTTGGACGGGGAGGAGAAGGAAGGGAGGTAGGATGTGAGGGACGAGAAGAGGGAGGACGACGATGATGATGTTTGAGGAGAGGAGGCAAAGCCCGGGGCGAGGGTGCCGAGGACGGGGCGGCGTCCGGAGCCGATGTGGACCAGGATTGTGGGGAAGCCGAGACAGGCGGAGAAGAAGGCGTCGTAGGGGTCGCCCATGCGGAGGGCGTCGGCGGGGGAGCCGTGGAGGTCGATTTGGATCGGGGCGAGGGCCGCGGTGTCTGGGACGAGGGGGACGGAGAGGGTTGTTTCTTGGAGGGGGTGGTGGGGGATCAGGGGCGGCGAGGGGATGTGGTATTTCACGAGGATTGTGTCGCCAGTGCCGTCATCGGTGTCTGAGGAAGCTTCGGTGCTGGACACGATCTCCTGGGAGAAGAGAGCTGTTTGGGGACAGGATGATAATTGGAGCTTCCGGAGAGAGGAGTCTTCGTTTACTTTGAAGAGCATGTAGGTCCTGTCGTGGAGGATGCCTTGCGGGGTGAGGATCGCGGAGGTGAGGGGCACCGGGCGGAGGGCTTTGATTGGGTAGACGTTTAAGGCCTTGATCTCCATTATGTAGACCGTATTGAGGAGGAGAGTGCCGTCGGCGTTACGGGTTACAATTGAACTGATATGGAATGGTGTGGTATGTGCGATTGAGAGCTAGTTACAGACAGGTGGCACTTTGGGGGGTGATGTCGGTGTGAGGTTGGTTGAGAGTTTGGAGGGGCAGTATATGTCGTCAGTCGTTGATCGGGGTTTGGTTCACGCAGCGGGCAAAGCTTATCCAATGCCTGGGGTTTGGCTTTTTTTGACGTGAGCAATGCGGAGCAGGGATGATCCTGAAGGTTCTCATGTTGGCTGGAGGAGGGGATCGGATACGGAACCCGATCATCAGCGACGGGAGGGCTTGATATGCTTTCTCTGCCAAATCATACATGGCACGTTAAAAAACGTTGCAGGAGGAATTCTGCCTCTGACGGATTGATTTTCTGAGTTATATTCTGCCCGGGTAGAATATTCGGTTAAATCAAGCGATAGATTTGATTTGATTTTGTTGTGGTTTTTCCCCCTTGACGGGTTTAACGGGAACGCATCCCGGAGATACTGCATCACAGGAAGGACATTCAGTATTTGAACACTACACAGATAGGCTAGATAGCGAGCTGGGATTGCGTGACGGCGCCCGCGCCGGGCTTCGGGAGAGAAGACCCCGCATCGGGATCGGAGGTGCCGATTGCGGAGAACGGTGTTTGGTGGGCTGGTTTGCTGGCGTTGTTGTCCGTTGATGGTCGCTAAGGATCAGAGGGTTGGCGGCGGGTCGTCCCGCGGCTAGCCGGCGACAGGCAAGGCAAAGAAACGAGATTTGAAACCATTTTACCTGCGGCACGAGACAGATGCAGGTATGTCTTGAAGGTTTGCGAAAGGAACGGTAAATGAGGACCGACGCGGCCCCGCCTGCTCCGCCCCGAATAAACGCCCGTAACAAACACCCCCGGTCCGGCGGGTACCCCGGAGGAGCGAGCTGTTCCGAGAAGGGAAACTAGGTGGGATCCGATTGGCTCGCTCTCGCTGTCGCAAGCTGCTGCTGATCTCTAGCCCCTGAACGAGGGAGATGGTGTTGGTGCCTGACGGCCATGGATTCTTTATTTTTTGGCTAATCGCTGTGGGAAATAAAAAAAGAATTGCGGATAAAATTACGAAAAGCAGAAGTGAGTAAAACTCAAGATCCTGATGCAAAACTTGCTTGAACGTCGTGGCCATGTTCGAGTTCCCCTGACTAGTGAACTGGTTACCTAAAATGGCAATTGCGCAGGTGCTCAAGCCTGGGATTCCGAATCTTGATTTTCCTTCGAGATGTTAGCGCAGCTGTTAGGAGGAGACAAAGTGGTTCCTCGAGAGGGGTCTCGCGCGTTAGCTGGGCTCTCAGGAGAAGTCCAGGCCTGGTCGGATGCCATCGGTGACGCGTAGATCTTGAGGGGTTGGATGTGATAAGGCGCATCGGAAGGGCGTCCGTGATGCTGAAGATGAGTTGCCGAGGTAAACATGCCCGTCGCCATCCTTGGAAGGGAGTATTCTTTTTCCACGCTTGCGATTCTTCTCTTCCAAAGGGAGGTTCCGCCATGGGGATCCGCGCAGGGTGTGTATAGATTTGGCCCTGTCAGAGATGTGACAAGATGCGCCTGGAGCATGAGGGTGACCTAGAGCGGGCGTTGAGACCGGAGGGGAATGCTATAATGGGAATCATTTTCAAGTCTTGGGTCGGTGAAATGCTCGGGGGCGAAAAAAACGGCATGGAGTGGTTGATGTTCTTGTATGTCAGGGCTAGCTTTCCTGATTCAGAGTCGTTTTGCAGCTGAACAGGGTGTCTTTATGTATATCCAGATTACGCGGCTTGGTGCATCTCGTCATGGCCTTGGCATTCCCGTGGGAAGTGGAGGGTGTGATTCCGCATGTTCGTGAAACTCGCGGTCTAGACTTCCGCGCATGGGGTGGTGTTAGTGCACTCGGCATGCCGACGGGATCCTTGAGTTGCCGGTGCGGCCAGCGGGTGGTTTAGGCTGTTGGAGTGTCCTCGTGGACTGTGATGGATGGGCAGATGCCAATTTAGCAGTCTTGGCTTGTCTGGGGCGAAAGCGAGGACCAGTCTGGCCGGAATTTGGACTTTGTTACAACAGACGTGAGGCCGGGTGCGTTGCTCCGTGGTGTTCTCGAGTTATCGTGGCTCGCCCCGTATGTGCCCCTGAATGCGTCCGCAGAAGTGTAAACGGTGCTTTGTAACGGAAGGCAGTAATGCTTCTGTCGTTTAGACGCAATGATTTAACTGACAAAAATATTGTTTTGTAGACGGACAGAGACTTTGATTCGGACAGGGCCGGTTTATTGGTTTTCCAATGACATCCCTTGTTGAAGCACATTGTTTACAGCATGCTAGAGTCTAACTCAGTGCCCTTTGAGCACTACATCACCAAGAATAGGCCAACATCCAACGCCTGCTCAAGACTTGTAAACCGCCGCGAACCTGGCCTCCAGATCCGCCTCAGTCAGGAAAGGCAGACCCACGAGCTCGTTGTCGACCTGTTCATACGCAGATTCGTAGCGGCCACTCAGCACCCCAGCCTTGATAGCACCCATGATTTTGCCCTCGTTGTATGGGTCCTCCTTTACACCGTTGAGGGCTTCATTGAACGCGGCTTCTCCTTCCAGCTCAACCTCCTTCCACTCCGTGCCCGGCGGCGAGTACTTCTTGGCCAGCTCGTACAGCTGCCGCTGGGTCACCACCAGCTCGTGGACCTTGATATTACGGTTCTTGGTCGCCCCGGGGTTCTTCAGGGCACCCGCCACCGCCTTGCCGATGGAGGAGACGCTGGTGGTGCTCAGACGGTGGCGGCCGCCGTCCCAGAGCTCGACGGTCTTGCTCGCATAGTCGAACGCGACGGGGACCGTGGTCAGCAAGTCGAGGAACGCGCCGACGGAGAAGATGGTGTGCTCGATTTCACCGGTGCGGGCCTTCTCAGCGAGGTACCTCTGGACGTCGAGCATGGGGCCCAGCACTGGGACGAGCTCGCGCTGGGCCTTGGGGTCGGTGGTGAAGGCACCCCAGTCCGAGGGGATGTAGCGCTTCACGCCGGCCTTGATGCTGGCGTCGATGACTATGTTTTGCGTGAGGAGACCGCCTTTGCTGACGGTGGAGACGACTGCGTCCTGGCCGCGGAGGACGGCGGTGAGGTCGTCGACGGAAGAGTAGTCTACCGTCGCGAATTTGACGCCCGAGGGAAGACCTTCCTTGGCGGACTCGGAGCGGCCGAGAACGGTGACTGCGAGTCCGGCGTTGACGAGCTCTGTCAGAATGGCGGATCCGAGAAATCCTTTCTGTGTAAAGGTTCATGTTAAGCGCTATTCGTATACTTGATTCTCGACCACGGGGACTTACACCGAGGAGGGCGACGTTCTGGTAGGTGCTCATCTTGGCGGTTGACGATCACTGATGTTTTGAAAGTGGTGAAAGTGTAGTTTAATGTTAATTGATTTGATGATGAAGTGAGAGCTGGTGATAATCTATTCGTTGTTACCTGGGTTGACTGTCCCGTATTATACCATCTGAGTGAATCTGTAGATAGGCCTCTCATTCATGAAGTGGGACTTTGAGGGTCTCGACATTCTGCGATATTATTCAGCCCAGCCGTTACAATTTCATGCTATGGAAATCCGAATCCCGTGGTGCTAACTTTCATCCCAGGGAAAAGCTCAACTCATTTTTGCTCCCGCCCATCGCGCCATCGCAGCAAACCCCAGAGGGAGACATTCTGCACTGGAGGAGACAAGGGGTCCCATGTGAAGCTGGCGGGGATTTGATTCCGCCCGCCTGGCTTTTGATCCCGCCGACCAATGAACGTCAGAGGCCTAAATCGTTTCCTCCGGTGTTGACATGGGCGGGACGGCGGGTTGGGGTAAGCTGGGCGGATGCAGTTTGCTTACTAAATTTGCTCCCGCTCACCACTTACATAGCCGCTTGCCTCCCACGACTGACCTCAGCGGACTCTTTTCATCCAAAGTCGCGGATCCTTTGCTGCAATATTTGCGTCTGTGTCGATTCCACTGACCGCACGAATATGGCTAGTGCCGCGGATGATGCCGCCGCCGTTGAGGATGCGGAGGAGCCCCCCAAGAAGCGGATCTATAGTGTGAGTGTAAGCCCGGGCGGATGCATTTGTTGGAGAGTCTCTAAAACCGGCCATAGGCATGCCTACACTGTCAATCACGCAAGAGAAGATGCGATGGCGGCGAGCCGACGTGTGGGCTCTGCACCAGGCTTGGTGTACAGTGTGTCTACACACAACGAAGACGCCGCGGTCCTGGGAAGAAGTCCGTTTACCCACACCCTGCGTAAAGAGCCAGCCGCTAACTTTCAGTGGAGAAATAAACCCGCTGTTGATGCGGAAGCAAAGCTGAGAGCCATAGAGACATCGCTGGAGCGGATGGCGCAACTGCACGTCACCGACGGAGGAGCATCTAGCAGTGGCCCTGGCCGGACTCAACTTCCTGCAGAAGGTTGGTGCACTCACACACGGGCTGTTCAGAAAGATCTTGCTAATACCCATGAAGCCAATCCGCCACCTGCGACAGCAAGTCTTGACGATACAGCCAAGAGCGCAGACATACCTCCCCATGATGACCTTGCCAACTCGCCCCGGGACCCTCTCCCAACGACTAACCTGCCTTCTCGCTTCCCGCCATTGCGAGATCTCTTCTCGGGACCCCAGCTGCTATCCACGATGCGTGCCATCAGAAGCGACATGGAATCACGCATGGACCACTCCCCCTTCAAGAGGAGAGCATTCACGAGCTTCCCCCCTCCAGAGTATCTCCTCGACCTAGAGCAAGCCGTCATCGAGGACATCCAACTGTTCTGTCCGACCATCACCCGCAAGCACTTCCTGGAGCTCGCCGAACAGCAGTACACAGGCGGCGCCCGCGAGAAGACCGCCATCGACGATCCCGCCCGTTGGGCCATCATCAACGCCCTGTTCGCGACGGCGGTCCAGTGGAGGACGGCGAACGACTCCTTCGAGGACATGTCGCCCATGAGCTGGGGCTACTTCAAGAACGCCTTCTCCGTGTTCCCGGAGCTGCTCATCTCCGGAGGGGGCGTGTCGACAGTCGAAGCGATGCTGACCATGGCCACGTTCCTTTTGGGAACGACAGACGCCAGAACCACGTTGCAGGTGGCGTCTTCTGCTGCTAGGACGGCGCAGATGATGGGCCTGCACAGGAGAGAGGCGTATACCAAGCTAGATGCTGCAAAATCGCGGCAGCATCGGCGCGCGTGCTGGGTCGCTTTCATCGTCGACACGGAAATGACAGTCCGGTTCGGCATCTCGCCGTCTTTCGACCTAGGCCAGATGAACGCGGACCTCCCAGACGAGGGCCTGGCCTCTTTCAACCACGCAATAGGCATAACTTGCGCAGAGAAAACGCAATGCTACGTCAGGAAGTTGGCAGAGCTGTCTCGAATACGGTACAAGATCCACGACCAACTTTCTGTTGACAGTATCAAAGCCCAGGCTGGACCACATCATCAGACGGCCGTCCTGGCTTTGAGCGCCGAGCTGGAAGCGTGGAGGAACACGTTTCCCGACCACCTGAGACCCAAACTCACGGCAGTCGTGCATGACAGGGAACTCGAGACTCACGTTGTGCTGCTGCACGTGTACTATTTTGACGCCTTGATCAAGATTCACACGAACCTGGCCCGCCTCAAGAGCGTTTCAAGCCACAGCCTGACGCTCTGCCAGAACCCCAGCTGGGAGGCCAGCCAGGGTTCGTATCCCAATGTGCAAGACGCGTATGAAAAGTGCACCGCGGCTGCCCGTGCTACGGTCGAGATTCTACGGTTGACGCCCCCGCATTCATTCGTACATCTATGGTAAGTGTTGTTCTGGATCATGACGGCTATTTTCATACTGTTTAACTAACATCAATACGACTAGGGCTATGATTTGCTACCCCGTTGCAGCGTGCCTGATCCTTCTCTGGTCTGCGCTTGAAGACTCTACAGGCGCGGAAGCGCACGCCAATGTTAGGGTCCTCGGCCAGTTCGTCCAGTTCCTTGCAGGGCTGCGGGAAGAAGGCTGCGACGTCCGGAACGTGTTGGACGGCTGCTCCAAGTTCTTCAAGATTGCAAAGTACGCCGTGCACACGCAACGCACCATCAGGCTCACGAGGCCTCTGGACGAAGACGAGAACGTGAGGGAGCAGCTTGAGGTGAGTTCTCCCCAGAGTTCAGCTTCTGGCTCAAGGTTTTGTTTTGACAACGGCTGACCTGGTCTGCTGTTCTGGCAGACTCTGCGGCTCAAGCTCTCGGGTGTCGCGGATTGGACACATTTGGCCGAGGGGCTTTTGAGCAACATACCGACATTGTGTGCGCAGGCACGAGATGTTTTCTCGGATATCCTGGAGAGTGAGAAGCCGGGATCGGACGGGTATGGGCCGTTGGCGGCAGACATATTGAAGCCGCATAATCACAACTTCTGTTTCGGCCCCTGACCTCAGCTTGCAGAACATATGCCAGTTGATGTGATGGGTCGTTTAACAAATGTTCCAGCTGCCATGCTAGTTTGACAATTTGCACCTCAGTCTAAGGACTCTTGAAAGCCTTAGTGAAGTGATTCTGGAAGGCGATTAGGCATATCCAGTATCAAATGTGGAAGCTTGATACGATTGCTTCTACTGAGCTAGACGCTAAGCGACTTGTTCAACAGTTTGAAATGATGGAAACTTCTTGGACGTGGTGGATAAACGTTGACTGCATTGACTAGCTGATACAGCGTAGAAAGAGGCTGAGAATCTTCTATCTCTCCAACGCCCCAAACCCGCTCACATCATCTAGTGACATCCCCAGCATCCCCAGCGATAGATTGACTCAAACCAACGCGTCATTACCAACGGAACCCCCCGGTCCCCATACGTGGGAAATTCTCCCGCAGCCCAGCACGCCCCTTCGATACTATGTTACACCGACGCAACGCCAAAAGCCCAAAGACTCGGGCAAGACGGCAACGCACTGCAACGTACGTAGGTAGGTCACATTACGGATGCCCCCACACCGCAAAAAGAGGCATGTCCCCAAGAGACCGCTCTCTATCTGGCTTTTTTCCTTTACTCGCTAGTGCTTGGCTAAACGAGGAAAACAAATAGCGGTGCCTGGATGGTGTGGCAGGCTCGGTGCGTGATGCCCCGAAGTGGCCCGGGGAAACCCCAGCTGCCCCCAAAACAAACAGCTCGTGTCGTGCGGAGAAGCAACGCTGGTGCAGTGTTCCCCGGACGCTCATCTCCAAAGAGGCGGGGTCCCCGCTTCGCCTGCCCAAGAGATGGACCAACCCATGTCCCAATTGGCGAATGACCACCGTCGAATTTTCATCGTCTGCCCGCCGTTCCGGGGAGCAGAGAGCTCATTTCTCCACGCAGGCATGGCCGTCCCTGTCTGTCAATCCACGAGGACAACAAGCGGTGGTAGGTAGACCAGACGAACACCCCCCCATGTTTCTACCGCTTTCCCCAACCTCTTCCTCTCTCTGGGGTGCGGGGGAAATCTCTCCCCTGGGTCCCAGGAAATGACAACACGGAGATGAGTCGCCCGAGGCCAAGAGACTTGCAGAGCCTTTCCCACAGGCGCGGGTGATCTCCAGTATATAAACAACACCCTCACGCTCGCCGCTTCCACCGGCTCTCGAAGTCTGGTAGACACCCGACGTCCGACGAGTCGAGCCGTCCCCTTCCTTCTCAACCACCAGATCGTCGTGTGAATCCGGGAGAGACATAAACACTCTCACACAATGCGGCCCTCCATCCTCCGCCGCGCAGGACTCGGCCTCGCCCTGTCCGCCCTCTCGGCGACGACGAACGCCCTCCTCAACGCAACCGAGACCTCCAACCGCCTCATCATCGCCAACGACCGCCTCCGCGCCGCCATCGCCAAGCCCGGCGGCTCCATCGTCGAGCTCACCCTCGACGGCGTCAACCTCCTCGGCACCCCCTCCGGCGCCACCGGCCAGGGCCCCTACCTCGACTGCTACTGCACGCCCCAAGGCTTCTGGACCCCCGGCTCCGTCGCCCCCGTCTTCGAGCTGTACAACGGCACCGACTCCGCCGGCGTCCCCTACGGCGGCGTCCGCATGTCCGACACCTACGCCTCCACCGGCCAGGTGCTCGAGCAGTACTGGTTCCTCCGCGAGGGCGAGACCGGCCTGCACATGTTCTCCCGCGTCGCCTACCACAACGAGACGGCCCCCTTCCTGCGCAACCTGCAGGAGCTGCGCACCCTCTTCCGCCCCAACGACCCCATGTGGACGCACCTCCTGACCAACCGCGAGCACTACGCGCCCCTGCCGTCAAAGGACGCCGTCGCCAAGCAGGTCGTCGTCCAGGACGCCACCTGGTACCTCGGCAACACCCCGAACGACCCATACGTGCAGCAGGAGGCCGACTGGTTCACAAAGTACACCTTCCAAGACACCTGGCGCGACATCGACGCCTACGGCATGTTCGCCGACGGCTCCAAGACGGCCGACAACTCCACCTTCGGCGCCTGGATGGTCTTCAACACGCGCGACACCTACTTCGGCGGCCCGCTGCACTCGGACCTGACCGTCGACGGCATCGTCTACAACTACATCTCCTCCAACCACCACGGCGACCAGACGCCCAACATCACAAACGGCTTCGACCGCACCTTCGGCCCCCAGTACTACCACTTCAACCGCGCCCCCGCCGGCACCGACATCCTCGAGCTGCACGCCGAGGCCGCCAAGCTCGCCGACCCCGAGTGGAACGCCGCCTTCTACGACGACATCGCCCACCTCGTGCCCAACTACGTCCCCTCCGCCGGCCGCACCACGTGGAAGCTACACGTCGACCTCCCGCAGGGCGCGTCCAAACCCATCGCCGTGCTCGCGCAGAACGGCGTCGACTTCCAGGACAACGTCTTCGACACCAAGGCGTACCAGTACTGGGCCGACGTCGACGCCGACGGCTACGCGACGATCCCGCGCGTTAAGGAGGGCACCTACCGCCTGACCATCTACGCCGACGGCGTCTTCGGGCAGTACGTCAAGGACGACGTCGCCGTCGTCGCGGGCGAGGTGCACACCACACACGCGCGCTGGCGCGAGGAGACGGCCGGCACGGAGGTGTTCCGCATCGGCACGCCGGACAAGAGCTCCGGCGAGTACCGTCACGGCTACGCACGCGACGCGACGAAGCCGCTGCACCCGGAGGAGTACCGCATCTACTGGGCGCGGTACGACTTCCCGACCGAGTTCCCCGAGGGCGTGCGGTTTAAGGTAGGCGAGGACGACGTCGCCACGGATCTCAACTACGTGCACTGGGCGGTGTTCGGCGGCAAGGGCAACTCGCTCCGGCCGGAGATGTACCTCGGCGACGGCAACGTGAACAACTGGACGCTCGCGTTCGACCTCGAGCAGGCGCAGGTGGAGCGCAAGCGGTACGCGACCTTCACGGTGCAGCTCGCAGGCGCGAAGACGGCGGCGGGCAACACGGACGTCTTCAACGCCAGCGAGCCGCACTCGAACCTCAAGTACACGGTCAACGTCAACGGCAAGGACCTGGAGCCGTGGGTGATCCCGTACTACCAGAGCAGCTCGTGCGCCGTGCGGTCGGCCGTCATCTGCTACAACGTTGCCAACAAATTCGTCTTTGACTCGAAGCTGCTCAAGGCCGGCGAGAACGAGATCGTCCTGAGCCTTCCGTACGGGGCCACTGACTACGAGAGCGCTGTTCTCACGGAGGCCATCTACGTGCAGTACGATGCGCTGCGTCTCGAGATCATGTAGGGACTAAGCTAGGCATGGGAACGCGGGAGATCTATTAATCGTTAATGAAAATAAATAAAAAAAAGTTCAATCAGAGAGGCATTTGCTTTTTCCGGGAAACGTTGTATGTGATGATGTTTCGCGCGTGCCGGGGACCCGGGACTTCTCCGGAAGGGTGAGTGAGGTAAGAGACAAAGTGACTTTTGATGTGCGATCGGATCGACGTCTGTTTCACGATTGTCAAAGACAGCGAGTGATACGGCCAAGTCGCGTAACGCTGTGGCTTGCGTCTACGATAAGCCCGACCGGAACACCAAAGACGCGTGGATGTGTTTCCAGGAGGTCCGGCCCAGGGGCCTGTTTTGGCTTGTGATCTGGTTCATACTTTGGCTGTCGCATGCAAGTGGGAGCTCGCACATGGTGCCGATCGCATACCCAGAAAAAAAAAGGAATCCAATGTTTCAACTTATCGACATTTCAATATGGACTTTTTCCGGGCGACGGCCGGTGGCCACAATATTCGATATCGAAGCAATATTGCACGACGCCTCGCAAGCCATTGCGCGTTGAAATGAAGTAAGTGGGTGGTACATAGCGAGATTGACTTTTTTTTTGTTGCCAATAGTCTCTTTGGTTTCGAGGTGTTTTGCTGGCGTCGGAATCACACAGAGACTGACTCTCGCTCGTGTCGGCCGGTTAAGAGGGCCGGCCTTGGGGGAGAGACCGTACGGCCACACTCGGAAACCCGGCTGAGTCCTTGAACGGCGATTGTTGCGCAAACCCGCCTCAGAAACGCGAGCCCGAACGTCAAAGAAGGTTTCGTCATATGGTTTAGCCGCTGCGTTGACAAGCAAGAGCTGAGGCTTGCGGTCGGAAGATTTTGTCTTGGCTGGGCGTATGGGAGCCACGCATTTTGCAGAGTCGAGCACCGCCCGTATGCATGTAAGTTGCTAGGTGCAGGAGGACAGCAGGCAGTCGTAGGATTTCCCGTGCTGTGTAGTCGTTTGCTGCTGTCTCTGCTCTGCCGTTGCTGCTGTGCCGTAACATGACATGCCGTGCTTTGCTGAGCTGGCTAGACATGCAGTTACCAAGGTTTAGTGAGCAGTCAGCAGCAACTAGGCCGCTCCCGGCAACGGATCGGCGTCCACGTCTGTCCCGGAATGCCCAAGATGACGGCCAGTGTTCTGTAGGGCTACCCCATCTGCAGACGATTGGATACGTGCCTGACCCTAATGGACAAAAGATCAACGGCAACAACGGGTGAGGCTGGTGCGGCGCATCAATGTCTCTGTGCCTTGCTTGATCAATAGCGCGGGCCCGTGGAACCATCCCCGCGAAATCCTTCGCTCCGTGATGTAAGTATGTGTGCTGACTAGAATAGCATCAGATATCGTCATGGCGGACCAGCGGTGAACAAAGTTGGGCTGTTTGCTTCCTGTGACGCCTGGAGGAAGCTGAGCGGCAAATCCATCGAATGAGTTCAATTTTTGCGGCCGTGGGACGAAGGCGAGCGGATGGTGGATTTCCCCTTTGGAGTGGAGGTGCCATTGTCGCTTGAGATCGCCGGCCACAAGACAGGGTCACGGTTCCATTGAGGCTAATTCGTGATCTTCGACGCCGTAACATCGCATCGCCCGCCGTCCTTGTTGGGGTCACCAGGCTGCCTGTCTGTGCTGCAACCCCGCCGCGTCCAAGCCGATGATTCGGAAAATAAGCTGAGCAGCTGCGATGCTGAGATAGACTGGAGTCGGCTGCGATGCAATGACGATCAGGACCGCAGACGAGCAAAAAAGCGCAGTCCTTTTTGAGATGACATGCTCACGGTGCGAGGAGATGCCGGGCAAGGCAAGGAGCGGCCCCTCCACCCCGCCGAGAGAGGGGAAAGACTGTCAGCCACCTCCCGGCGCCGGGATGGCACAGATGCTCCTGGTGTCTTTGCGGGCAGCATTTTGGCGTTCCGCATGTCGAGGTAATTTTGTTCTGCTACTCGAAACAAAAGCGAGCCCTGGCAGTGTCTCGACCCCGACATTCAGGAGAAGAAGAAAGGAAAAAATCTTTTCTTCCCGAGCCCCAGAGGCAGCATCAGCTCCATCCAGCAAGGGAGGGGTCCACCGCATTGAGAACAGCCGCCTGCGCCGCTGCCGTGGGAAATAAGCTGCTGTCAAGCGTCGAATCGGAGACATGGACGCCGGGGCCATGGTTCTTGGAATGTTCTTGTGTTCTTGGTGTGTTCTTGGGGTGGCGGTCTCGTCCTTGTCCTTGTGTGTTTGCCGAGTGTGCCATGCAACATCGTATCGAGTGACTGGTACCGGTATGCATGTCAAAGGGACTTTGTTGAGTGACAGTGCAGTACAGTAGTCAGTCAGGTCGACGAGTCAAGCTGGCAGTTTGTTGAATCACGAACGTCATGCCCGATGCCAATAGTCGGTCTGCGGCTCGGGCTCAGCAACCACTCGCTGGCCACAAGGTTGATGATCCCAGGACGATGCTACGTCAGGGACATGTTCATTCGGTGACGAGAGACGTGGGCAAGGCTGCGATGCTGTACGATGACGGGAATAAAGACCAGAAGTCCTGGATCATGGGAAGGGATCACGGCAGTCGGATTTGAGAGTATGTGACCAGGCGCCCTCTTCGAGGTAGGTAGTTTGAAGGCATCTTTTCAGCCAGAGGCAAGGGAGGTTGCGAGTGTAACAATGGGGGAAAGAAGCAGAAGCAAAGATACGTCCCTTCTAACGAGAGCAGCCTCAGATGGCTGGACCAGACGAGGGACGGACCCGCACGTGGCAGTGCGTGCGCTACTTAGGTAAGGTACCTTACCTAGGTATGGATACCTCCTTAGGGAAGGCAGGCCCCCTGTTAGGGGCTGGCCGCGGCACTCGCAGTGGATCCTCAGCCCAGAGGGGCCCTTTAGGCCCCTGGCCATACCTTGGCTGGATAAGGTATCCATATCCCGTGGATAAGCTCCGGATACCGATCTCTGGGTTCGTTC